CGTATTAATGAGAGAATGAATCGAGGACAAAGAAAAATATATAACTAGGACACTAATTTAAGTACAATCTATTTAATTTAGCTACCTCTCAATGTTAAGTTTTTAAACTCGGGGCTGATGAGAAGACTCACCATATAGAAAAAAAAAAAAAAAAAAAAAAAAAAAAAAAAAAAAAAGAGCTTGCCGCCTAAGCCTGAGTCCAATCTCTGGAACCCAAGTCAAGATGGAAAGAACTAACTGCATAAAGCTGTGCCCACCCAGCCCCTCCACACACAGAGAAAAACAGTACTACTAAATTTTTAATCTTCAAATTCACTCTTAAGACAATACTGTTTCCAAGTGTATGAAAGGGGCTAGGAATCAAAGGAAAAACTAAAGGGTATGATTGCTGGTCTTAGTTTAGTTTGGTTTTGAAGTTTAATATATTAAAATTTGTCCATTTAAACAAGTTTTTTTTAATGATTTATTTCCCTTGCTGGGCATAAAAGCTAATCCACATCTTTCCAAAAAACAAAAACAAAAAACAACAAAAACAAAACAAAACAAAACAAAAAAACCCCTCACCTTTTAGGCCTAGTGAACATGGAGGTGATTTTCTATATCCATCGATTTTACATAACCAACATATGCAAGTCTGGAGTGGAAATGCTAAAGCCCAAACGCTAAAGGCTAATACTAGTTTGAGAATGCTTTTGGCCCTCTTTACTGACCTCTTTTTCTGTAAAGAACAAAAAGGTTCATGTGTGCGCCAGTCCTCAAAACGCCAACAAAGACCGGGTTTGGATGAGGAAAGGCTCCTGTAGTCCAAGAAAAAGAGAGCTTAAGAAACTTAAACCCCAAGGATGAATTCACTAGGAAAAAGTGCTCCAATGACTTATCTGGAACATGGTACTGTTTATTAAGTTTGGGTTTTCTCCCCTTCTCCTATTTTGCTTACAGTTCAGAAGTACTGATCAGCGCGTTGTGGGACAAGGGGAAATTGAACAGCTCTGAAATTCAACCCAAGAAAAATTACTAATACGTTTATGGAGTGTGTGTAAAGTGGAGTCTCACTGGTTTTTAATGCTTCAACTTCGGGGTTTCCCTCATTTACTCGGTGCAGCTTCCACTGACGTTATCACACAGACTCACGTCCAACTCCAGGCAACAGATTTGTTCTGAAAC